ATATATATATATATATATATAAAGTTAAGTTTAACAATTATATATATATATATTAAGTTAAGTTTAACAATTATATATATATATATATTAAGTTAAGTTTAACAATTATATTATCTAATATACAATATTATGTCATGCTATATTGTATATAAAAATTCGTTTGTAAAATAATACTCTGTTAATAAAATAACTTTCTGCAAAATTGTAACAGTTTCATTATTTAATAGAGTATTAATGGAAGTCATCATATTTCTCTAAATTTGTTTACATTTTTTTCTCGTTTCATTAACAATCTTTTATATATATATATATTATTATTATTATATTATTATATTATTATATATATATATTATCTATTATATTATCAAATAATCTATTTTATATATATATATATAATAAATTATTTGACAATATAATAGATAATAATGTATATATATAATAGATTGTTAAGTTTAACAATACATTTCAAAATAATCTATCATATATATATTATATATTATATATTATATATTATATATTATATATTATATATTATATATATGCAATTATTGTATAATTATTATGAAATTATTATGCAAGTTGCCAAATCACGTTTGTGATGGTAAACAGTGTCACACATTATATCTTATGTAAAAACAGTAAAAGCAGTGTGTATGTAATAAAAGTATGTAATAAAATTTCGTAATATTAAATGAGTTATTAGTTATTAGTTAAATGTGTGCATACTTGACTGACTCTCTCAACTTCATTTTTTTTCTGTCAAAAACGAAGTCTCACAATTTCGTTCTTCCTCTTCGATTTTCGTGAATATTTTCTTACTGTAGAATCTTCGTGATTCGATTTCTACCACGAATCTCCGACCTAACCTAATTGTGAAAACCTAACCTAAATCTAAATCTGACAACTCTGTGTATCTTTTCCGTGTTACTTATTTGAAATTATTTATATTATTAACTACTGTCACGCACAATTGATTTCGGTTTGCAACAAACGGTTGTCAGTTAGTGGCACGTAGTCGCCATTTCACTGTTCCACCAATCGCGAGCCGCCGCTCATAATTCAACCAATCAACAATGTTTCTTTTCTTTTTGTCCAATCCCTGTAAGCCTTGTATTACTAATCTGTCGTTACGTTATACTTGATTGGATCTTTTTTTGACTGATTCTCGTGGCGGGCGATTTTAACCTCGCGTGATATGTGGACATTTATCCGGCGGGAAATTTGAAATGAGAGTTTCGTGTTGTTAGAAATTACATTGTAGAATTTTTGCAAATTCGTGCAATTTTATTATTTCAACGTTGTAAACGATACCTGTAACTACAACTAGCTTAAATAATAATGGCAATTCTTGTCGAAATTGATATTAATTTCTATTTGAGGAGAAACGCGACTGTACAAATCTATTTGCTTCAATTATCATTTAAGTTATAATGATTCACTCATGATGTGGAACATTTTGACACGGTCGGATATTTTCATTTATTTCTGGGCAATCAAAGTAAAGTATAGACGCAAAGTCCGCCGTGAGAGTGTGAAAATATTCAAATCATTTCACCGTTGATATGTTTAGTGTTAAACTACTTTTGCATCGAACGTGCGAATATCTTTGTTCCTCGAGGGACCATCACACCACAACTATCCGCGAATAAACATTCGCGCTCGGATCGTTCAAGCAAACGTTCATGAATCTCTAAGAGACTGGGGTGGAAAAATTTTTTTTCCCAAGAAAAAGAAAAGAAATCGTCGCGATCACTGAGAA